ATGATTCGTCTCAATTTTAAAACCGTGAAAGTGACAATATTTTCAAAACTTTAGATCAAACATTTTTCAAAACTCTTTTAATTGATATTAAAAGAGAAAGAAAAATAATTTTTTCAAACAAGACAGTCTCTCTAGAGTGGATCTTGGTAAATGACATGTGACTCTCAAACACAAAGCTCATGCTTAGAATCAATGATGAAGCAAGAAATGAGGAACATTTGGGGTATCTTTGAAGATTCAACATCAAATATTGGGGTATTTTTTGATATTGAGGCATCTTTGGGGATTCAACATCCTAATACGAATTATCAGACATTTTTCAGGAGATAAAATATAACCAATTCATGTTACATGCATCTTATGCATACATTTTAGAGCGTCATATCTATCATTTTCTTTCCACGTACATAATTTTTACAGCTTTAGAGTCAAGTTCGACTTCAAGACGAAGGATACTCGATTCAAAAGCACCTTTACAGATTGATGTCGGTTGCTTAGCTCAGCAGTAAGAAGCTACACTTCAACCAACTCGACAGATAGAAAGATCGACATTCATTTTTAGATTCGACATTTCCAATATAAATTATGTCTCGCTTGAGACAGTCTCATTTAATGCAGATGATTATCTCACTTGAGATTACTTTTTTAAAACAGACTTTGTCTCACTTGGGACTGTTTTACTCGAAAGAAGATTTACTTCACTCATGATTGTTTTTCTTAAAACAAGATTTGTCTCGCTTGAGACCGTTTTCACTAGAAGAGTTTTGTCTCTCTTGAGACAGTTTCCCTTGAAACAAAATATTTGAATATGTTTTCTTTGAAACAAATTCCGTCTCCCTTGAGACAGTTTCTTTTGGAACTAAGTTTTGTCTCTCTTGAGACAGTTTCTCTTGAAACAATTTTCGTCTATCTTGAGACAGTTTCCCTTGAAACAAAACCTTTGAATTTATTTCCCCTAAAACAAATTTTGTCTCCCTTGAGACAGTTACTCTTGAAACACAAAATCTTCAAATTTATTTCCCTTAAAACATAATTTTGTTTCCCTTGAGACCGTTTCTCATGAAACAACAGATATCTTCGAGATCGTTTCCCTTGAAACGAATTCTATCTCTTTCAAGACAACTTCTTTTGAAGCATCATCAGAACCGTTACACTCAGCTCAGGCACATACTTGAGATGGTCGAGAAGTATTTCTCAAATCAAAAATAGAATGTGCACATCAGATTTGAACATTTGAAGAATTCAAGATCAGGGATCAAAATTTGAAGATTCAAGAATCAAGATTCCAGACAGGCAACTGGAGATCGAGATTTCTCTCCAGAGCCCCAAGATAACATATGTTGCATATGCATTTTAGGCACACCTAAGAGCATTGCATCCATAGCATCACATATATGCATAACTTTTTCATGTTTTAGCTAGAGTCAATTTCAACTTCGCGGCGAAGGATATTGCACTCAAAGCGACACAATTTGCTCGAGAGTGGATTTCAATTTCACGACGAATGATAGCTAGCTCGAAGCTAAACTTCACAATAAAGGGGTCTCCACGGTTTCAACTTCACGGCGAAGGGAATTGTGTCCACCCGCAACATACAATACTTGGATTTTAACTTCACGACGAAGGATATTCAAGTCAAGGCTCAACTTCACAACGAAGGGGCCATCCGCGATTTCAACTCCACGACGGAGGATATCGTGGCACTCGAGATAACACAAGTTCAACTTCACAACGAAGGGACGGCTGGTTGTCAACCAACAACTTCTCAATTTCAGAGCCAATTTCAACTTCACAACGAAGGATATTGGACTCCAGACAACGCAAGTTCAACTTCACGACGAAGGGACCGCTGGTTGTCAACAACAACTTCCCAATCTCAGAGCCAATTTCAACTTCACAACGAAGGATATTGGACTCCAGACAATGCAAGTTCAACTTCACGACGAAGGGACCGCTGCTTGTCAACAACAACTTTCCAATCTCAGAGCCAATTTCAACTTCACAACGAAGGATATTGGACTCCAGACAACGCAAGTTCAACTTCACGACGAAGGGACCGCTGCTTGTCAACAAAATTTCATTCAGAGCCAATTTCAACTTCACAGCGAAGGATATTGGACTCCAGACAATGCAAGTTCAACTTCACGACGAAGGGACCGCTGCTTGTCAACAACAACTTTCCAATCTCAGAGCCAATTTCAACTTCACAACGAAGGATATTGGACTCCAGACAACGCAAGTTCAACTTCACGACGAAGGGACCGCTGCTTGTCAACAAAATTTCATTCAGAGCCAATTTCAACTTCACAGCGAAGGATATTGGACTCCAGACAATGCAAGTTCAACTTCACGACGAAGGGACCGCTGTTTGTCAACAACAACTTCCCAATCCCAGAGCCAATTTCAACTTCACAACGAAAGATATTGGACTCCAGACAACGCAAGTTCAACTTCACGACGAAGGGACCGCTGCTTGTCAACAAAATTTCATTCAGATTCAATTTCAACTTCACAACGAAGGATATGGGACTCGAGACAACACAAGTTCAACTTCACAACGAAGGGACGGCTGGTTGTCAACAAACAATTTCCCGGTTCCAGAGCCAATTTCAACTTCACGACGGAGGATATTGGACTTGGAACAATGCTACTTACTTGGATTTCAACTTCACGACGAAGGATATCCAACTCAAAGAAAGATTATCTGCCATCAAAATTGTCGAGTTCGACTCCATTCAGCTCGATGACACATCAATCACACTACTTTCCGGTTGCAGTCGAGGTTTTCAAGTCGAGAAGAGGACCTGGGTTAGCCGTGCCTTAGTGACAAGCAACCATTTTCAAACAGCATAGCTTAAGTCAAGAAAAAGCTATCTGTCAATGAAGATTTCTGAGTTCGATTCCGATCCAAGGTCTTTAAACCGAGAAGAAGACCGAAGGGTAACGGGAAGCCACGTGCTGATTCAAATTCCGAACTACGGCTTTAATTTCATATCATTTCAAGATGAACTCGACTTCACGATGGAGGAGTCATCCGTAACTCAATTCGACAGGGAGTTATTGAAACATCAGAGTCAATTTTCAACTCCACCGAACGAAAAGTGTGTCTTTTAATCTTTGCCCTATCCCCATTACACGACTATGGGCAAAGAGGGGCAGCTGTCAACACACCTTTTCGTCCTACTAGAATTCAAACTCCTAAAGATAGGATAGAATTTTACTAGGATTCAAAAAATAGGATAGAGTTCTACTATTATTTAAACTCCTAAAGATAGGATCCACAAGCACTATAAATAGCCATTGTAACTCACTATTGTAACACACGATTTTACACACAAAACACAGAGGAAAGCACGGAAAATACAAAGGCAAAGTTGTTGTAAACGATTCGAAAAGGAAATAAAAGGTAGCATTTTCTTTTTTCTTTCTTTTGCATGTGCACGTTATTTTTCTTGAAATTTGGTTCGAATAACCCAAAACGTGGGTTGCGCCGATGACCAAAATGGGTGGGGTTTCGATGTTTCGAACCTAGATCTACCCCGAGGCTTATTTTTAAAAATCGATTTGATTTTCGGTTAAAGGAGGGGAAGAGTTTTTTAAAAATCTATATTAGTCCCTTTATTTATTATATGGATATTTTATTCATTTTTTTTATTATTCATGTTATTATTATTATATGTATATATATATATATATTAAATTTTTTTCATTTGATTTTTTTACTATATTTTATTATTATTATTATATATATTTCTTTAATATTTTACTTATAAATCTAATATTACTATATATTATAATTATCTTTATCTAGTCGTATGTATTTTTTTATACTTTTAATAGTTTATTATATACATATTATTAAATATATATATTCTTAATTATTTTATTTGATTATTTCTTTATTTATGTAATATATCTTATAACTTTATATATTTATTATTTTTTATTATTTTCGTTTTTTTTATTCATTATTATTATATTATTATTTTTTTAAAAAAAACCTTGTGTCTTTATCATTATTATTATTAAACATTATATTATATACTACTAACCTAGAGGGCCCATTTTTTTGGTCTTATTTCTTACTAAAGCCCCCCACTTTCGGTGAATCGGGAGGATAGCTTTTCTATTTTTAAGTATTTGGTGTATATATATAGCTTATTTATTTTATTAATACTTTGATATATATATATATATATTTATATTTTTTTCCTTTTTTCAAAAATTATTATATATAATTATTACTTTACTATTTTTTTCTTATCTTACTTATTTATTTTATTTTTCCATTGTATCTTATTTGTTTTCTTTACCTTGTTTATCTAACACATTTCTCGATTTTTTTTTCAAATCAATCAAGGGTAAGTAATTAGGATCGAAACTTTACCTTTTAATTTAACTTATTATTTTTCTTAATTAAGACAACTGGAAATTACGTAGTACCGAAAGGGCGGTTCAAGGGTGCTAATCCTTCCTTGACCGTAACCGACTCCCGAGCCCGACATATTTCTGGTAAGACGCAGATCAGGTAAGAAATAGGGTATCCGGTCAACCCATTTATTTTTAAATAAATGATCGGTGGCGACTCCAATCCACATTTTTCAAGTCGAAGCCCAATTCCGGAGCCCAACCGAAAGACGGTTGCGACAGCATGGAAGGCACAATGCCTTCCTTAACAATCCTTCATCCTTCATCCTTCATGTATGTTTTCCGTTGCTCTATATAGTTCGGACATCAAGCTGTCATACGAAAGACGTCCTACAATCTGACCGATTTTCTAAAGACGTCAAATAATTTGACGGTCTTTATTTGAACTATTCAGTCCATCCCAATTGAAACTATAATTTCCCCAACATTCCATTATACAATACACAAGCGATAAAATGAAGGTTAAAACTATAGTTTTAATTACAAAATCACTTTTCAAAGGTAAAAAATAAAATTTTATTATAAAATTGAGCCAAACTATGATTTTATTATAATAAGACCACCAATATGTCTCCAAAAGATCACTCTTCGAAACATGGTTACAGAGATTTCCACTGAATTAAAGTCTTAAACTGAGACGCAATTTCTCAATATAATCAATGACCCGATTGTCGTTTTCCATTTGGAGTAGTAGACAGAGATTAGCTAATCTCTTAAGATATTGTTCAAAAAACTCGTTGCTTGATCAAGGGGTTCAAGTTCATGCAGCTTGTTTGAAGACGGGGTTTGGTTTTGACTTGATGTTGAGCAATGATCTTATAGACATGTACGCAAAATGTGGTGTAATGGACACTGCATCTATTGTGTTCGACAGAATGACTGAAAGAAACGTGGTTTCTTGGACAGCGCTCATGTGTGGCCATTTGCAAAACGGTAACGCCACAGCAACATTGTCACTTTTCTTTCGGATGGTGTTTTCATGTTTCAAACCAAATGAGTATACATTTTCCACGAATTTCAAGGCTTGTGGGATTTTGAATGTTCTTGAGATTGGGATGCAGATTCACTGTATGAGTGTATTATCTGGCTTTGAAAGTGTCCCTGTGGTGGGGAATTCAATAGTTGATATGTACTCGAAATGCGGAAGAATCGACGAAGCAGCAACTATGTTTAATGCTTTGCCAGTTAAGAATCTAATAAGTTGGAACACAATGCTAGCAGGTTATACGATTGCTGGACAGGGCGAAAAAGCTTTACTTTGGTTCCTTAGAATACTCGAAAATGGACAGATACCGGATGAGTATACATTAACAACCATGTTGAAAGCATGTAGTCGTCTTGGTAAGATTCGGGAAGGATCGATGATTCATGGTTTTCTGATCACTAGTGGATTTCCATGTTCAGGTAATGCAGCCATTGCAGGCTCTCTTATTGATTTGTATGTGAAATGTGGGAACTTGGCCGAGGCTCGAAGGGTGTTTAATCAGGTTGGAGAGAAGAATGTGATATCTTGGAGTGCATTAATTCTGGGGTATGCTCAAGAAGGGAATATGGCAGAGGCCATTGATTTGTTTAAGCAGCTTCAGAACAGCAGCATGCAAGTGGATGGCTTTGTTCTATCGAGTATGATGGGCGTGTTTGCCGATTTCGCACTCGTGGAGCAAGGCAAGCAAATGCATGCGTATGCTGTTAAGATTCCTTCTGGTTTAGGGTTATCGGTGTCGAATTCCATCATTGATATGTATCTCAAATGTGGACTCCTAGATGAGGCTGAAAGATTTTTCAATGAAATGCCAATGAGAAATGTGGTTTCTTGGACAGTAATGATCACTGGGTATGGAAAACATGGGTTTGGCAAAGAGGCGATTCATTTATTTAACCAAATGCAGTCGAATGACATCGAGCCTGATGGGGTTAGTTATTTGGCTACACTCTCAGCTTGTAGTCATTCAGGACTCATTAAGGAAGGTGAAGAATATTTCTCACAGTTGTGTCGTAATCGATGGATTAAACCCAGGATAGAACATTACGCCTGCATGGTTGATCTTCTTGGTCGAGATGGACGCTTGAAAGAAGCTAAAGATCTCATAGAAACCATGCCATTAAAGCCAAACGTAGGGATATGGCAAACTCTGCTTAGTGCTTGTAGAGTGCATGGGAACTTGCAACTAGGGGAAGAAGTGGGAAAAAATCTTTTGATATTGGATGGCAAAAACCCTGTAAACTATGTGATGATATCGAACATTTATGCCGAGGCCGGATACTGGAAGGAGTTCGAGCAAGTAAGAGAAATGGAAAAAGCAAAGGGGTTAAGGAAAGAGGCAGGGCGTAGTTGGGTGGAGGTTGACAAGGTGGTCCACTTCTTCTACGGAGGAGACGACACTCACCCGATGATCGAAAAAATTCATGATGTGTTGAAGGAGATGGAGCAAAGGATGAAACAAGAATTGGGTTATGTTCATGAGGTGAAATTCGCATTGCGTGATATCGACGAGGAGTCGAAAGTTGAGAGCTTGAGGGCTCATAGTGAGAAGTTGGCAATCGGATTGGCGCTTCTCCATGGAGGTTGGGATGAACCGAGAGTGATACGGATCTTCAAGAACTTGAGAATCTGTGGGGATTGCCATGATTTCATAAAGTGCTTGTCGAAGATCGTCAAGGTTGTTTTCGTGGTGAGGGATGCTAATAGATTTCACCAGTTCAAGGATGGCCTTTGTTCTTGCAGAGATTATTGGTAAGTGCTAATGCTATTTTGGCGTATGCTTTCTTATTCTTACGGTTCAAAATTTCTCATTCATAAAGAAGCAATGACTACTACTTGCTTGGAGATGAACATGAATCAAACATATGTCATCATGAAAAGGAACCCCTTTTAAAACTAGTGAACTAATAATCCAACATTTTATTTGGGTAAAATATACTTAAGACCACTTAATTATGGGGATTTGTATCTGATAACTGATTTTTAATTTTGTTAATCAAATTATTTAATTATTTAAATGATATTAATTAAATCACCCGACCTTAACATTTAATGAAGGAGTCGACTTGTAGTTAACAAAATTAATTAATTACATATTTAATCTCCATTTTTTTTTATACATTCTATCAATTTGATCTTAATTTTAATATAATTCAAAAAATTACTATCAGATGGATAATATCGATTTCTGATGGTAAAAAAGTCGGCTTATAGTTTTACATTGAATATAAAAAAAATCAGGGATTATATTGAATTTTTCAAAGTTGGAAGGACTCAAATATGTTTGAGTCAAAAATGAAAAACTTGATTTTGCTTGATCGACTTGGAAAGCAATTATTTAATGGCTGAAAATGGGGGGATCACATCACCATTACTGGCCAATGGCACATGGTTCTCAAGTTGAATTCCTTCATTTCTAGAGATTTGGACACATTGATGTACCTGCAAAAACTCAACGTGCAACAGTTCAAGTTGGTTGGAGGTTGAGACAGAGGAACATGCCTTTAAGACATTACTTGTTATTATGATGTTCGTACTTTTCAAATTTTTTTTTGAAATATTTGTTTTTAATTCTCTGTCATATAAATAGAGATGATAATTTGATTCGAATTTTATAGATTTTGATTCCATTTAATCTTAAAAGATTGATTTTTATTTTTTGAAATTCAAGTTCGTATTAAGTCAAGTTTTGTTAAGAATAAGGTCGGATTGACTTAGTTTTGATTTTAGAGTGAAAAAACATTTCACCCGATCCGACTCAAGAATAACAATGTACTTGATCTTTATATATTTAGAGTTGATTGTTATAATATCCTTTAACTATATATTTTTTTCACTTATATCTTTATTTTTCTTAATAAATTTGATTTTTTTATATATATACTGGTAATGTTGAGTTGAGTTTTTATTTTAAAATTCGGATTGATTTTGAGTTGAATGAAACTATCCTAAATTCGTATTGAATTGAGTAGGATATCAGATAAGAGATATAATTCTCGAGTTGGGATTAGATCGACCTAAAATTCGACCTAACTCGATATATTGTCATCCCTACATATGTTTTGAAACATAATATTTCTGGGTTCAACAATTCTACTGAAAGTTTCAGTTTGAAACCCAACAAATAAAACTTCATAACCAGCAAAGAAAACTACATACATAATGTCAATGCTGCTTCCTAATGAATTTACTTCAGTTTTGGATAAAAACAGGGATGAATTTTATTCACTCAAACAATGGCATGGATCATATAAACAGTGGGAATATGAGATTGAATTCTTACAAAAAAGATGCGTTAAACATGTTAAAACATTTCCTCTTCCAATTTCTTAATTACTCCAATGCGGAAACACTCATGGTTTCATCCTCAACAGCCTCGACGGATCGGCGAACCGAGCTGAGAAAGAACGAGAAAGATTATCGGGTTCAGCCGATGCCGAGCCTCGATCAAAATTCTGGGAATATGCATTTGGATCATAAGAAACTTGGAGTGCAGCACCAGAAGAAGTGAAGATTCCATTCCTTTCTCTTCTGATCTTCTTCCAAAACGTTGTCCACTTCGGTTTCGAGTGATCGTCTTTGATGCCACGCTGCGTGTTGCTCCGGCCTAATGTGATGGTTTCTCTGCCGGAGCTCTGCCTCTGCCACATTTTGATTTCCATGGCTATGAAAAATGGGGAGAAGTGGGTGTGGTTTTATATAGATGCATGTAATGTGGTTGACTCTATGACATGTGAATGTGTGTGTATATATATATATATATAATTCATGAGCAGTACATTAATGATTTAATCTATGAGGAGAAAAAAAGAGAGTCCAACTATTCGGACCTTCGAAAGTCCAATTCGATTAATTATCTAACAAGACTTATTTAATCGAATTGATTAATTAAAATTTTAAAACAATCAAATATTAAGCGAATTGAATTATGTGTAAGAATAACTAATCGGACCAGTAACTGTAAGGAAGAAACACTTTCCATTTTATCTCATTTGAACCTTCTTTGATGACGCCCTGAGTCCGACTCAATGACTCAGTGTCTGCAATGAAGGTGAGTGATAGCCAGACTTAGATCAGTGCTGCAATGACTGGTTTGGACGGCTGATGATGAAGTGAAACCTCAAGACTCAAAGTTTTCAAGAGTCATTCTCTTTGACCATTGTTATGCAAAAAGAGGACTCAGTCGAGATCAGTTGCTTACATTTCTATTATGTAATCCGTAGGTTTATTATTCAGAAAAAGATATTTGAACTTTGGGAATCATGAATTATTGAGTAGAACAGTGATTTTAACACCTCAAGGCTAAAACTCACCCCTAGGGTGTGATGTGTGTGAATAGAAAAAAAATATCCCACATTCCTTGTATAAATGACAAATCTGCGGTTTAAATATACAATCCAGAGACTTGGAACACGCCGAGTGGGATAACGCCTGCTTGTAACCCAAGTGGGGGCACTAATGTGGTTGGACAATTGGTCTGGCCCATTGAGTCGGGCTTGTTGATGCTTACCTCTTCGGTCTGCCCGTTCCAAGCTAGGAGTTGGTTCAAGTGATTAGTGCGAAGGCATGGATCTCTCGAGTCTTATAGCGGAAGGCACAGCGTGAGGCTGGTTTCACAGAGCAGCGACTACTTCCCTCTCTTAACGGTGGAAGGATAACAGGCTGTTGCATCTTAAGTCCAACATGGCTCCTTGTCCCGCTCCCAATTGGACGACCACATTTTTACATTTTGGTTTCATAATTAAAAATAATTTCATTATGTCATAAAAATTTTCATGTATATTATATTTTTTTAATAAAATTATTATTAAATTTAACCCTTAAAAATGTGTGCGATTAAATTATTCTTTTTAAATTTAATAAAATGATAATAATAAGAGTTGGTTCAAGTGATTAGTGCGAAGGCATGGATCTCTCGAGTCTTAGAGCGGAAGGCACAGCGTGAGGCTGGTTTCACAGAGCAGCGACTACTTCCCTCTCTTAACGGTGGAAGGATAACAGGCTGTTGCATCTTAAGTCCAACATGGCTCCTTGTCCCGCTCCCAATTGGACGACCACATTTTTACATTTTGGTTTCATAATTAAAAATAATTTCATTATGTCATAAAAATTTTCATGTATATTATATTTTTTTAATAAAATTATTATTAAATTTAACCCTTAAAAATGTGTGCGATTAAATTATTCTTTTTAAATTTAATAAAATGATAATAATAAGAAACTGAAAATTATTTTTATAGCTTCAAGCCTTCAAGTTCAACAATTAACATTAAACTTAAACAGAAAGTAAGAGAGGGAACGTGATTTTCAAATAGAAAAATAATATACGATCTAAATTTTATAAAAATAAAATATATAGACTAAAATTTAAATTTTGAAATAATATACAAATATCTGATATATTTAAAACAAAAATAATTAAATAGTAAAATTTAAATCTAATATTACATTTTAAACAAAATAATAAAAGAAAACAATTTATATTGTTATAGCACAAGTTAAATAAACTCAATCATATGGATTTGTAAAACAAAAACCAAACATTCTATAATCTGCTTGCTCTGATCAATATTTATTCCCCATAGTCATGAATTGGGGAAACACACAATGTAAGGATAATATATGGTAACGATTTTCAAGGTTATTGTGATATTATAATCGCATCTATGATTTAAAAGTATAATTAATTAAAAAAAAAATCACACATAATGTTCACAACCGTAAAAATGTAGCGACGATCACGACCGCAACTACAATTTAATACCATGATTCCCCTCCTGTCTCTCTCAAAATGAAATAGTATTAGTAATGTACAATAACTAAGGTCTCCCCCCACAAACCAAAATAGCACCAACCCTTTGTCTCTCTCAATCAACATGACCAGGTAGCTGGCTTATCTGGTGTCATCTTCAAAATCAAGCTAAAGGGTTCACCGAGACAACTCTCTCCCTTTCATCAAACCCCCTCTATTTTCAACCCTTTACTTCTTATAATCGATCGAATTAGAAGGCATCTTCCCAACAAGTTTCGGGCGTGGATACGTGTTCAATATCGAAATCCACGGCTGCCCCACATGTACTATGCATCCGTTTATCTCTTATCTCGAAACAACTCCAAAAAAGAAGAGATCATAGTGGTGAAGATTGGTGCAAAAGATGCATTGCCTCTTCATTCCAACAGCATTGAATGTCTTGTGCAATCTTCATGGCATCCATTGATGTGCCTAACAATCCACGTTTAGTGAACCCCACGGCGTATAGCCCACATTCACCTTTCCACCCATTAGGGAATGGCCTTCGAGGGTACCCATCTTTCTCCGAGAACATCTCTTTTTCCTGTCAATTTGCTCCATTCCCCTTTCTTTAGACCTTTTACATATATATATATGTATACCTTTAAGAATCATATATAAAAAAGAAAATAAAGGGTTTGTATACCTTTAGCCAAGAGGGTACATTGCTTTTATAACCAGTTGCTAATATGATTGCATCGAAGTTCTCAGTTTTGCCATTGGAAAACTCCACAGCATGTCGTTTTAGGCTCTTTATGCTTGGACGTACCTACATCAACAATAGTTATAAATTAAGAAGCGTGAATATATATAGGGTTAAAATCTACTTACATAAAATAATTTAAAAAAATTATATAGATTTAAGACCGTTGGACTAATAAAAATAAACAACTAAGATTAACTTTACATAGATTTAGGTCCTAGCTCTGTCCTCGCAGAAGGAAAAGAATGTGGTACTAATGTTGAAACACAGTATTATTGGATCAATCGAACACTTGAAATTTAGCTGCCGAAGGGGAAAAAAAGTGATGTGATATGAGTGACAAAAGTGTAAAAAGTACCTCAATGTCTCCACTTTTGATTTTAGCAAGCGTCCCAACATCCAAAACTGGTGTTTTCCCCGACAGATTCTTGAGTTCAAGGGGACCCAACTTCGGCCGGGCCAATCCGAGACGAGCAGTGTCGCCAAGAATCAACCGAGACACTATCAGCAAGAAGAGGTCGACCAGCCGCAACGGCATCCATTTGAGCAGCCACATGGACAACCCGAAAGTAGATATCCCTAGCATCTCTTGTGGGAGGACATGAACCTTCAGTTCCATAAACTCAAAAAAGTAAAGAAAGATGACATAAAAACATGGAGTTGACTCATGGGATGAATCAAACCACTTAGCTTTGTTGCAGTTTGGGTTTGATTAAGGACGGATCGATGGGTTAATGGAGATGTTTTGTTTTTCTAAAATTTTTAAATTTTTATATAATTTAATTTTTTTATATTTTTATTAATAATTTATTTATATCTTTAAATTTTTATATGGCCGTCTCTTCTAAATTATTTAAATTAATTATAATATAAAATCTTACGTCTATAACTAAATTTTGTTATATAGAATTATTTAAGATCCTATGTTGTTTATAACATATTTTACTATGTTGCGCATGCTTAGGAGTCTCCCAAGAAAGTGAAAGAACAAAGATCCTTGTTCTTTTTCTGTCTACCTAATTTTAATTATAGTAATTTGGTTTTATCGGAATTTTCATCACTACTAAATTAAATTAAAATTTACATTACTAAACTTTCTTTCTATTTCTGTTTTGGTCACAAAATTTTTTAATTTACTCAATTAAACTTTCAATTTGTTTCTATTTCAGCCGTTATATCATTAAATACTCAACATCGTCATGATTGAATATTTTTCTTTTAATAATTATGAAATGATCTCAAAATTTTCTTTATTTTTGTGAAAAAATCATACTTTCAAATTCTATTTAATTTCTTGATTATGTGTCATTTTCTTTTAAATCTCAACAATATAGAAGATGGAAAAGGAGAAAATGAATTAAATATCATGATTTCATGTTCATCAGTTGATAAATATTATAGATTAAAGTGCATGCCTGTCTCTGAGCCTGGGTAAGAGGGACATTTATCCAAGCCTCTCTTGCACAATGCCCCAAATTATAAATTCACATATAATTAAAAAATGAGTTATTATTTATTTAGACATTCACCTATTATTTTATTTATCTTTTGGTCATTCAATTATTATTTTTCAAAATCATACTTACTGTTACATTTTATTTTATTTTGTTACCCACCATTAAAAAAATTATCAGCGATGCTAATATGACATTTTTAAATTATTTTTTCACTTTCCACTTAATTATTTTTTTATTGTTTTTTGACAAAATGGAGAAGATTAAAATCTAACATGTACCGTCTTAAAAGAGAATCATGCTTATTTTGTGTGAATAGTTAGGTGTTTAATAAAATTTCATGTTGTTTTCTATTTAAAATTTGATATATTTATTAAACGTAACAAAAAATTAATTTACAAGTTAATTATTTAGTTTTGTTTGTTCTTATGATTTAATTTTTCTTCTACACTTATTATTAGGGACATAATTTTATGTTTGTTTCATGTCACTAAAATCTAGAAACCGACGAGTTAAAGTGATTTATGATTTCATAAATTTTGAGTGTGATTTCATAATATTAAGGGGGCAGTTTGAGGAACGGTTTTAATCTTCCAATGAATCAACTTTGTTAAAAAAATTAAAGTGGGTGTGATTTTGGTTTAATGTATAGAGAGAGATATTAAAAAAAGAAAATAAAAAGAAGAGATTTCTTACAGAATCTCTGACCACAAGTGAAGGCTTTGCATTATGATTGCAAAGATCCAAGCATACCTCCATGCCTGAGTTCCCACACCCCACCACCAAAACCCTTTTCCCTCTAAACTCTTCTCCACTTTTGTACGAACTCGTATGCCTTATTTCCCCTCCGAATTTCCCCATTCCTTCCACCTCCGGCATCAACGCCTCCGCATTCTCCCCTGTCGCCACCACCAGCCACCGACACACGTATTCCATCGCCTCCCCTTTAACCCCAATGCTTCTCACCCGCCAGAACCCCAGCGTTCCGTCGTACTCCGCCTGCGAAACCGTCTCATTGAACTTTGGCTCGATATCGAATTTCCTAGCGTAGGCTTCCAAGTAGTCCACGAATTGTTGCTTACTGGGGTACGTAGGGAAATCAGTGGGGAACCCCATCAATGGAAGCTCGCAGAATTGCTTCGGCAAGTGAAGACGAAGACGATCGTATGTCTTGAGTTGCCACAAAGATGCTATGCAGTTGGATCTCTCTAGGATTAGACTCGGGACTCCTTTCTCTTTCAGGCAAGCCGCCGTCGCTAGACCCGAAGGCCCCGCGCCGACGATAACCGGCCCCGGAACGTATAAACAACGAGACGACAAAGACTTCATCTTCTCCATGAATATGGGATCATGAGCTTGTTTTCCTTCAATTTCTCTCAACCAGTACTTCATGAACAAAGGGTTAAGCTTAATCATCATTCATTGAAGTATGAAAGATAAAACACAGAGAAAGAGAAATCGGTAGAATGAAAGCGTAAGAGAAATTAAGAGGACGATGGTGATATGTCAGTAACACTGTATATATATAGATTTATATATATTCCTTTTGTTTCGTTGAAGAAAATTCGTTTTCATATTTGTGGGGGAACAAATTAAATTCTAGTGGGGACATTTTTTATATTAATTATTTCAGGAAAAAAAATTAATTTAAAATGTATGCAGGAACTGTAAATTATTCTGAATATATTTACTTCAAACAAACACCACCACATGGGGACGTCACTCTATCTGTCATGGCTGGAACTTAGAGACCTCATTGGGTGATTAAAAAATTGTATAAAAAGAAATATATTCAAATTGTATTTTCTAATTTTAATCAACATAAAATAGAAAAAAAAACAGAATTTTGTATGAATTTAGCTACGACCCCGGATCTTCGGCCCATAAATCCTTTATTTATTTTTTCTTTATTTACTGATCAAATCACTTATATCACAAACTCTGCAAACCAAATCAAAATGAAATTTAATCATAAAAGTATAATAAATTAAGATAAATTAGACTATCATAACTAAAAAAAGTAAATGATTATAGGTATGATCTTCACAAGATTTATAGTTTTGATTATGGTAATCCAATTTCGATTTTTTTTCTCATTTGGGGGTTAATTTTTTAATCATAAAAAGAAATGGGATTTAACTAATTCATATCCTTGCAATTGGATCTTAATTTAATTGATATTATTATTGTTATAATATCTATTAAGATATGTATTTAAGTGTATCATATTATCTTATTTAGGTATTGTATAAAAATGAATTCAATTACTAATATCTCTTACTCAAACTCGATTACTTGAGTTTGATTAATTCAAGTTTGAACTCGAATTAATTACTTTTTGCATATAAAATAAGAGTGTTTATATAATTTAATATTTAAAATATGTATTAATAAAAGGTTCAATTAAACACACGAATAGTTCAAATAACGTATTATAGTGTTTGAATTTAGCTCGATCGATAACTCAAACTCGTCTGATTTATTATCGAATCAGATTCAATTTTTATTTTAACTGACCTTGAATGTCGAATGATCCATGAATAGTAATGAACGGATAGCATCAACAAGAAGAAAGAAGTGAATGAAAAAGAATCCCCCGAAGGCAAATAACTTGTGCATGGACATGGTGGAGAGGGGGCCACTCCCTTGGTATTGGACAAGACAAGCTTAGGTTGTTATTAACTACCTCTCTGTCAGGTAATCATTCACTTAATAACCAACTCTCCCTCCAATCAATGTTTATATATTTTCTTTCTCTACGAAAATAATAATAATTAGGTGGCATTCATTTATTTCTTTATTTCAATTATTATTATTGTTAGCATTAAAATTCGTCTTTAATGTTTAATTTATTCATCATTTTAGTTTATATTCTTTTGTGAAGTAATTTGGTCTTTAATCTTTAATTTTTGGTTAGAATATTTTTTTGTTGGATGAAAATTATTAATTGACGAACAATTAGTGTTTATTGTGGATATAAAAATGTCACATTAATACTTAAACACATGTGGATGAGTCATTTCAATATCAGACGTTGATTGTTAGCATGAATGAATACGAGAGTTTTTATGTTAAGAGTGTAAATATTTAAGAAGTCATATTAGAAAATTTTAGGAGCACAAAACTAAATCATCAATATAAAATACAAATTAAACACTTAAACTATATGAAAAATTAAAAAATCATAATAACTAGAATGAATATCAAAGATTAAAATATTTTAAAAATAAAATTAAAATAACTTGTTCTCCGGTGGAGTAAATGTACAATATGAATGTGTCTGTCATTTTGCTTTCGTTATTATTAGCCAATGGTTTCTTTTCTTTGATACTATAGCCAACAACTGAAATAGGAAATGCCAAATAAATTCGAAAGCTATGAGTAGGTGAGCAACAGTTTGAGTATTTTATAATGTATACAACAATAGAGTAAAATTAAATTAATTTTACATAATAATTAATAAATTTATTAATTTTATTATATTGATTATAGACATAAATTTTCGATTTTATCTGTTATCTCTATTATATTACTGATAACAATGGAAAGTTTATATTTTGCATAATAATTATACATTTTTAATTTACTCAAAACGTAAAAGAAGCATAAAATATAATAGTTGAATCTTATAAAAAGTTATAAAACTATTTTAAATTTACAATAGTATAAATAAACTCTCTTATATATTCGATTAATGTTAGGTTGTTATTTCATGTACCGACGGTGGATAATATATTCAACAAGCATATCTATTTAAATGTAATTTAACATAATAAATGATTTAACCCTATATTTTAATCTCTAAATTCAAATCATAATCCTAAATCTTAAATAAGACACACGATAGTATCAGAACATGCTCATAAAATTAATTTAATTATTTTTTTAACTTTAAAAATGAATTTTGTTTCTTTAGACTCTTGTATGTCTTAAATTGTTTGGACATTGCTTTTGTTTTGTTTTCTTCTTAAAATTAGAACATATCTGGTAAACTAGTTGCATGGAAATCTTGAATCATTTTTAGAGTTCAAGTTGAGTTGACCCATAAATATATGAATCTTATTTTTTCCCGGATTGTTTTATGTTCAAATCCATAAGCCTTGGGGGACTAATCTCTTCAATATTGAAAGTTGTTTTATGTATCAGACACTTAATTAGATAAAAAAATATTACTCACGATGATTGAACCAATGATTTTTATACATTATAAAGTAAATTAAGATTTCATTACCTAATTATAAGTAATTAAAAATAAGATGGACTTTTCATGAACTTTTATCATATTCGAGTCCAATTCAGACGACCATTAATTTTCTAATAAAAGAGGATGAGTTTATAACATATGAATAGTCAGATGATCATTTTGTAACTTTTAATAGTCGAAGACTTAACAAATAATATCTTATAGTCGGAGGATAATTTTGTAACTTTTTATAGTCGCTGACTCAACAAAACAACGTTCTATAGTCGAGAATTATTTGTATACTTTACCCTGAAACATTTATATGTAAATCTATTAATTTAGAGTGTAATCAGTAAATAGTAAATAGTAATTTTTAATTATTTTATTTAAAGATTATATTTAAATACTACTAACTGTTTAACATATTATTAATATGTTAGCATTTTTGAAAATAATTTTTTTTTATAATTTTCAAAAATAAAAATAATTTGGGTAGATTTCAATGATTGTCTTGGACCCGTTTATAGATGTTGGAAAGATGCTTGTGAAATTTTCTAAACCACTTAGGGGTGGGTCTAAGGACAAATGTATATGGAGTACTTGGCAGTTGAAAATTGCAGCAATATAAATCAGTGTCTTAAATGAAACCCTCCAACACACACATGTGAATTATGGGCGTTTTACGATAAAATCACATAAACCATAAATCTGTTTCATATATATTTAATGTTATTGTATTTACTTTTAAAAAAATTAAACTGAACTTAGTAAGTATTCGCAGTTGTAAAAGGTAATATTATTCTTCGTAAAAAAATTTGAGTTCGAACAAATGATATGTATTGTCAACAGACTAATAAAAATTTCAATTTCGAGGATATATATCAAATAGAGAAAATAACTTCAGTGACCGAAAATGCCTTATAATATACGATTTTAATCAACTTTTTTTGGATTTGCGAAAATGACCAATAAATTCGCAACGCGGACTCCAATTTCGCAACACAGGTTCCAAATTCGTAACGCGAATATGTAAATCGCAACACAGAAGTCAAATTCGTAACACGGAATTTCAAATCGCAACGCGAATTTATTTTTCATACACAATTTTCCTTTTCGCAACAAGATTTTCTAAATCGCAACACGAATTTTGTTTTCGCAACTCGATTTTCGAATTTGCAACATGAATTTTAATTTCGCAACAACTTTTATTTTCGCAACACAAATGTTTTGGGTATATAAACTACGCAGTAGCAACAACTCATAACCTAAATCCCTAAATCGCAACTCATTCCATCTTCATCTATCACTCTCTCCGACGACATCCGTTCCAATATCCAACGACATCCTTCCCCATCTCTAATTTTTTTTTACATAATTTTATTTATATATAATTTTTCAATGATTTCAATCCCAAATTATCAACTATCAACTTAATAAAGGTATGTTTTTCTCTAAGTTAGTGATGATATCTAGTTTATAGCTCGTTTGTTTAGTAAATTAATTTACAATTTGTAGAATGAAATCATCTAATGTTGATAATGTTTGGATATATTTGTGTTTTGGAGGGTCATGAGAGAATGTTCATGGTGTTTTACAATATATGCCTTTACCCATGAATCTTCAACTAAAACTGTCATTAAAAAAGTTAACTTATGAAACTCTAATATTACGTGTTGCAAAGAAATTGAATTTAGAGCCTCTAAGTGGATTTAGGTTATCTTATCAGAGAAAATATAAAGTTTATTTGTTAACCGACAATGAAGATGTTGAACGATTCATTGTTTACATTAGTGTTTCGCAAGATGATGTTACATTGTATGTTGTTGAACCCAGAAGTAGTGAAATTGGGTCAGTAGAAGGTAGTAATCAACTAAGTGCTTCAACCCCAGTTTATGGTGCTCATAATGTACAACGTTGTTATCAACCTCAAAATTTAATGGTTCCACCACAATTTCATCACTAAGAAAATTTTGTTTCACCACATTTCCAATATCAAACACAATCTCAAAACCCACAACCTTTCCCTAACCCAAATCATAATCAACTTTCAGCACCAAATTCTGGTTTTCGTATTGACCAGTTAGACGATGATGAGCCAACAGAAAATATTGTGAGTACTAGTCAGTATTCGAAATTTGATCTTGGTCAATACCCGGACTTTGATCTAGGTCAATACTCGGATTTTGATGATGTTTCAGAATAAGAAACATACCCTGCGTGTAATGATTTTGAT